TCATCTTCGCCACATTGATCTGCTTGGTGTCCAGTCAGTTTGGAAGGCCAGGTATGAATTCTTCTTGCACAGCTTTTTACTACATATCCTGCATTTTTATGCATTTTTAATTTTTATTTTTCTATTTTGCCTCTTTAGGAAAAGTCCCAGAAAGTAAAAAAAACAGAAAGCTCCCCAGCAGGAAAGGGGAAGCCTCGGGTTCTATCTAACAGGAACCCAGGCACAGTTCGGCTCAGGGGCAGCAAACCGCACACAGCGCAAATTGTGCAGTCAACTTGTTGCTCACTTGTACATCTCGCAGTTTTATAGGAATTTACACGCCTCACCAGTGTATTGACATGACCTATGGAAAGAACTACGGAAAGTGCTAATCGGCTCACTCCTCCCCCCTTCTCCAGGATGAAGTGCGGCCAAACTTCTTGCCGCACTGCCGCAAATCATTGCTCTGAGCAGCGCGACCAATATTATCCTAGTAGAGGAAAGATCTACTTCAAAGTCGGCAAGAAATTACGAAATCGTTAGCTACGCAGCGTTCAGGGTTCGCGATGACACGCTACGACGCGCCTCCCCCCCTACCCCCCGTGCAACAGCGCTTTAGCATCATAGAAAGGGACGGACCACGAGTGCGCTTCAATCGGTGTGGGAGGCTTTTCTTCCTGGAGGGTGCAATAAATGAGGAGTGTATGTAACACCAATGGCGGCCGGCGTCCATCGACATGCAGGCTTCCCATGTATAGCATTAACAGGCTATTGCAATGAAATCCTGTCGACGAGCGTCATTGCCAAGTATGAACGATGACTCACTGCGAGGTAGGTCGAGGTATTCCCAAAAACTGTCGAATTCTAGAGCGCTTTTATCGATTTTTGTCAGCTTCGAGCCACTCGTTCGCTGAGGTGGGGAATATGCTTTTTCACATACAATCTGGCTACAAAAATTCCTAAAAAAGTTATCCGGATTTTTTTTCAAACGACTTTATAATTCAATGTTTTGTTTTAGGTTTCGGCGGACAAGGAGGTTTCGGTGGGCCAGGCGGCATGCGCCCACCTGCTCCAGGTTTCGGACCAGGCGGTCGTCCAGGCGTTCGGTGGACCAGGCGGCATGCGCCCACCTGCTCCAGGTTTCGGACCAGGCGGTCGTCCAGGCTTCGGTGGACCAGGCGGCATGCGCCCACCTGCTCCAGGTTTCGGACCAGGCGGTCGTCCAGGCTTCGGTGGACCAGGCGGCATGCGCCCAGCTGCTCCAGGTTTCGGACCAGGCGCTCGTCCAGGTGGTTTCGTAGACTACGGGCATCTCAGCCAAACTTACCTTGAAAGTGATAGACATATAATCTTTTGAAATTCAGGCGGCACCAATCTTGGGCAAACGCCAATGCCAATCAGGAGAGCTAGGAATGTGCAGGGTGAGTGGAGGCGAACCTATCATTGATGCAGTAAGAAAATATTCCTGGAAATAATTATTCCACATTGTAAAACTGGACTTCTGGCACGTGTTAGCGGCTGCATAGGCTGCGGCGGAAGTGACATATAGTCAGCATTTCAGGGCTCGGGGACACAGCTGCTAGAGCGCAAGGAATGAGGTAAAGGAAGACATATGATGTGACAAGCAGAGCGATTGAAGAAGGATTGACCATGACCGAACGCTCCGTTTTTGGCCTCAAAGGGCGCCAATAATGCCATACTGGGATAAAAGACATTCCCCACCTTCGGCCAATTCGCTAGCGTCTATCCTTGTACTAGTACCTTAGGTCCTAATCTGTAAGATCATATCACTTTTGCAATTCCACAGTAATAAGTAATCAATGGGCTTCGCCCCTTATTGGTGGCAGTTCTGACGCCTCCCTAGTAGTCCCGCCCACCAGAATTAGAAGGCTTTTTCCTACATTCGGTTCTTACACCTTGTGTTTTTTACAGTCAGAAGGTATTAATATTGGAGGCGCGAAGAAGCCATTAGTGAGTCAGAGGCGGCAGAATACAAAATAGGTACGGGTACAGCGTCGTGATGTGAAACGGTGGTGCCCAGTATGACCCACCCCCCTTCGAGCGGGTTTTAGGACGATCCCTATTACTACCCCATTCTCCACATTTAGATTTCCAGCCAAGATTTTTCCGTCGAGCGGGGGGGGGGGGAGAGAAAACTAGTAGACATGAATAAGGAAAAAATTAACGTAACAACTACTGAAAGTCAGTAACCGGGGGGTATTTTCCTCCCCCCTTAACGTTTCAAGCATCTTCCGAAGCCAGCATACGACCCCTTTCCCAACAACGACCAAGTACGACCCCCCCTCCTCAGTCGAAAAGTAAACACCCCTCCACCATGTGTTTCACAACAAGCTGCCGTAACCCTAAATACTGTAGCTGACTATGCACCATATGCGTGCTAATTCCTTCGAGAGAGTTGCAAACCGTTGGGGGGGGGGCTGTGTCCTAAGGACATGCGTCGATCCCCAAATCCCAATAGTGAGAACCACAGTCTGAGGTAAAGGGAACAGCCGAAGGAGAGGACGCAGGACAAACTGAGTGGACTACGGTTGGTTATATAACTGCTCTGGTCCCTGCGCGGCGAGTTTTGAAGACAGTTCTCAGGAAACAAGTACCGTCAGCCCGTCCCAATGCACTGTTTTGACCGGAGATGTGACACGCATATATCAGTTGGCTCCATTCAACTCGCACATAGAAGGGAACAGTACCCGAGGGGCCGTACCCTCAAGGAAGATACGGTAGGGAAAGAAGGGTCACCTGCAGCCTTATCTCATGCTACATGTATGGACGAATCTAGCCCTTCCTCGTTGAGGAAGCCCTTTCCCCTTCTCCTCTATATTGTAGCATTTTGATAGAATTTTTTTTTTTTTTATTTCGTAATTCAGCGTTAATGGCTTGTTAAGAAAGAAACTCACATGTGGCAAAAATGGAGTTACCCCAATGAGTAACTTTTCACACCTAACCGTGAGGAGATGAAGGAGTTTGGAAAGTGGGTGAGCTGGTCTCAAGTACGGCACTATTAGTCCCAGTTCTTCACAACGCGCAATTCGGGTGACCCTCCAATCGCAGCTTTCTTTCTCTTAACCTCTTATTCTCCAACTATTTACTACTCCTTTGCCACGTCATCGCTTCGCGCTACTTCGATGAAGGCTTTGGCAGCGGTCATCAGTTACTGGAGAATCTTTTCCGCTGATCAAAAACACGTGAGAAAAGACCTGGAAGAATTCATGATGTCGGAAATTCATTGTATAGAAGTTTGTTAACCGCTAACCGTGTTTTTTATTGCTGGCAGCTATTAAGGGTTCAGCCCGCATGAGTTGATTCCGAGTACTGTAGCTTTCCGTAACGGCACCTGATTTTGAGCAACTGGACCTTGCGATTGGATCTTCATAATAGACCGAATGAGAGCGTCTATAACCTCACAAAGCTCTCATTCAGGGTTGGGGCTCTGTTTGGCTTGGGAGGGTCCTCTATTTCGCTACTTTAAATTGATCCAGATACCACTTTGGGAGGACCTGTGAGCTCCTTTGATGCTAGGAAAGGATAAAAGTGAGTTCCTTGAGACACAGGAGTTTGCAGTTCTTCAGAAAGAAGACTGAGCTAGCTTGGCTTACTGCTTCTCGGGGCCTCCGCCAAATCGAACTGCGCCTAGAGCTTGAGTCATGACCGTCTCAAAGGCACTAAATTCTGAAAAAATGGGAATAATCCTAAAAAGATCACATTTTTAACGTAACTTTGGCCCACAGGTCTTTCTTATCTCGATGGCGCCAAGTCAAGCCAAAGGTCATTAAATCGGTCGCGTCATTAATAAAAGTGAACCTGTAACTTTTGTTGCTGGAGATAGAAAACATTTGTTATCACATTACCCATTGCAGTGAGTCCTTTTTTTTACTCCCTTACTGTTAATGGCGTCACAGAGCGTTTTGGACCGGTCTATGCCGATTCTGATGAAGAACGACTTAGGAAATAAAAAGGAAAAAACTGTTTACGAAATACCGACATATTTCGTAATGTCTCTTGCTACCCATCCCCCATCGAAAACATAGCAAGCGCGGGGTTGCCAGCTGTCTGAACTCATGTGAATTCTTGTCCATAGAAACTGAGCAGAGCTGACACTGAACGATGGCGATCCCTAACTTCCTAGAAACGCAACGCTGATCTGTCTGTCTGTCTGTCTGTCTGTCTGTCTGCTCTGTCTGTCTGTCTGTCTGTCTGTCTGTATCTTTGTCTGTCTGTAAATGTGTCTGCGTGTAGGTCCGGAAATTTGGCATTACCTGAAGATCCGGTTTGAAGGGTCGAGTCAAAGGTGAGTGGGTAGGGTGTAGACACAAGAGTGATGCTAAACAACTGTGGGCGGCCGTGCTGCACAGTTGTGTGAGTCTACTTACTTCAAAATTCATTATTATAATTCCAGAAAGCCCGGGACCAGTTAAAATGTGGCAAACGATAGCAGTCAGAAGAAGATGATCGACGGCACATTCCATTGCGGGCGGGGTTTGCTGTAGATGGGCGGTGCTTGCTACGAAACTTTCGAATATTCGTAGTTCCCAAAAGAGCCCCGAGAGCGGAAAAAGTGGGAAACGATAGGGAATGAATGGATGGACGGTTGAGGGAGACACATCTGCTGGGGACGTGGCTTGAATCAGAATTTCGTGGTTCAGTCCCAAATGAGGCAAAAGAGTTGGAAAAATGGGTAACGATAGGAAATGGGTCGGGAAACTGAATGCAGACGTAATTGCAATGAACGAGGCTTTCGTCAAAGTGCTATATACCTCCTCAACGAAATGGCAGACTATCACCACGCATCGCGCATTCTTACACCGCACGTTGTCAAGGAAGCACCAAAGAACCTATTTCCCGCTAGCAAGCTTCCACAGTTTACTGTTACACTACAATAAGATCGATATACACAGGGATACCCAGATAACAGGAGTTTATAATACCCACTGCTCCCTGACGTACGTGGTCCTGAAACCAAGTAACGCAGGCAGATAGAGAACAGAGGTATGAAACAATGACAAGCAAACTACGTAGCGAAGCCAGGAATCGGGCTTTTTATAGGCGTTTTTAGGGAGGGGATCGGGGTGGGTGAATCACTTATAGTCCGTGAAAGCTGGAATGTGCGAAGTCACAACAACCACGAGTGCCATGCGGACAAGAGAGTGCAGAGAAAGCAGAAGATCGGCGCATTCAGAGGGATTGAGTTCAAGTTGTTCGTAGACGATAAAAGTTTCCTTACCCTCTATTCCAACCCTGTCGAAGAACCATCGAGTCTTTCATATTGCCCCCGATGAGGCTTGCTGTAACTGGGCAGATTTCAGTAAAAGTGACCAAAAGGCATCCGCTAGCAATTAACGTTGATTTGCTGGTTGAGGTGATGGACAGTCGTGAATAGCTGAAATGGACACAGCAAAAGACGCCTCGTTTGCTGTAGCTGTGAATCTTTCTGAGGAATGTTCACTTACTTCTGCCAAACGAGGCTATTGGATGTAACCTTTATTGGCCTAACGTTTCGACCTTCTCGTCTTCTTTAGAGGTCTTAAAATGGCTCGAAGCTTTCAATTTGTTAGCTACCCTACCAAACACCCTCCCCACTCTAGCGTTTCCGACCTCATTTCCCGAACGCTTCCGAACAACTCGGCAATGAGGGAAAACGTGGAGATAACTATGATGAATGTCTATCTAACACGCCCGGCTAATGACTGCAGCATTTCTGATGAGCCAACTTTTCTCTTATTAGACGCAAATACAGGGGGGGGGGCAAAAAAAAGACATTTCCGACCGGAGTCACAATATCAGCAAAGTTTTCGCAGCGCAGAGAGAAGACGTGGATACGAGTACCAGGGCGAAAGATACCCAAGATGTTCCTCGATAAGCAGGAGCTGCCCTCGCCCATCACCCTTCATTATACGACAGAAATATTTAGGCTGCGTTTATACTTTGCGGCAGCGTAGCGTAGCGCAGCGTAGCGTAGCGCTTCCAGCGTACGCCAGCGGCAGTGCCGGGAGAGGATGCATATCGATCTAGCGTTCCCAGCGTCACCAGCGTCACGCTAGCGTACGCTAGCGGCACGCTAGCGTACGCCAGCGTTTCTCCAGCGTTTCACCAGCGTTTTGCTAGCGTTTGCAGCGGCAGGGAGTAGAGACTATGGGAGAGCTGGAGGGTACAAAACACATCGATTGCGCGTCTCTCACTCGCCCTTAGTCTCTACAATGCACATCGCTTCTGCGTCTCTGACGGCCACAGACTCTACTATACAGCGTCGATTCCGCGTCTCTGACGGTCACATAGTCTCTACTATACACATCGATTCCGCGTCTCTGCCGGCCACATAGTCTCTACAATACACGTCGATTCCGCGTCTCTCACGGCCACATAGTCTCTACTCCCTGCCGCTGCAAGCGCTAGCAAAACGCTGGTGCCGCTGGAGAAACGCTGGAGAAACGCTCGAGAAACGCTGGTGAAGCTAGATCGATAGCTATGCTTCCCGTGCCCTCGCTACGCCAGCGTACGCTGGTGACGCTGGTGAAGCTAGATCGATATCTATCCTTTCCCCGGCACTGCCGCTGGCGTACGCTGGAAGCGCTACGCTACGCTGCCGCAAAGTATAAACGCAGCCTAAGTCTCCAGTCGCAGCCTGACTGGAGAACCTTTGGAATTCATGTCACCTCCAAACAGCTGCGAAACTTCTAGTATGGAGTCACCCATGGATAGCTACCTGGAGAGCCAGTACTCTCGATCTGGAAGACCTCCATCATCGAGCAGCTCCGTCAACGTCGCTACGGTCTAAGAGATCATCTCACCTCAGATCGCCAACGGCGCCAGTTGACTGGTGGGGACCGCCATCAACTGGCGCCTTGGCGACCTGGATGGAGAGACCGATATTTTCTTCGTGGGCCCCGGACTAAAGGTGAGCGCTGGCGGTTACATCGAGCAACTCGAGAAGAATATCCTCTCCACATGTCGTCGCCCGTACCTTCTTGGAAACTTTGTACTGCTACAGGATTGGGTGACACCACATGGAATCAAAGGGCGTTGGGAAAACTCTTGCCTACTTGGAATGGAAGGGCGTTGAGTACCTGAATAAGGTGGAATATCTAAGCAGGTAACCTGGCCTAAACTCTTAAAATTCCTCAATTACCTGGTTCGTAAATGGAAGTACAATAGATGGTCTACAGTGGCGGAGAAATCAACGATCTCGCTGAACTCACGCACCCACTGACGGTCCGCGTGGCAGAATCTCTCGATGGCTCTCCTCCAGAAGGCTGTGGCGGAAAGTATCCGGTGATTAGCAGTGTTAATATGCTCTTTTGATGTGGTGGTAAGAATATCCGATAAGAATTTACTAAAGTGTAACTTATAGCGCCTCGAAAGTCGAGGAAGAAAAAAGTATTTTTTTCGCCCTCCCCCCCTGTACACAAACCTATGCCTCTATTTCGCCCTCGATTTCGCCTCGACCCTTGCGGTCTTCACGAGCTCATTCGGAGATGCCCGTTACCTCTGCGATGTGAACTCTCATATGCTTGCAGGTAGCACCAAATATTCTGCAGTATTGTGACGCCGTTATGTAATTTTTCTCACAGTAGGAGAGTTCTTGAGCTCATTAGCGAAAGAGAGTCTTCCGTGATTAATGTCAGTCAGAAGATGGATTCGTCTTGAACAAAGAGAACCAGCACTTCGTTTTGCCAATGATGGATATAACTAATCAGGTTTCTGAATAAAACTCTTGTAAACTGTAGATCGGTTTCTTCAGAAGTATCCTACATTCTGTGTCACAGTATTCCATAATTAGAACAACAGAAAAAAGCTGCATTGAAGATGTCTATGCAAGCATGACCAGTGGAAATGGCCCAGTTGCTGCTTGCTTGGAGTGCATTCCATCGAGTCGCGTATTCGATGGGC